AACATGGGGCAGGGGGCTGGTTTCCACTGGGTGGGCGTACTAAGTAAGCACTTACTAAATTCGACTATGTCCCTAGACTCCAAGGCAAGTCGGAGTGGGGGGATGGGGGGGCAGCTGTGTTACTGTTACCACTTCTGCTTTCAAACAGCATGAATCAGAACCCCAAATGAGGCAGAACTCTCCTCAACAGCCAAATTACCACCCTCTTTGCCCGCAAAGGAAGAAACAAAGATCGGAGGATATTACGAACTACCAAGAATCAGATCTGCTAGAGATGCTTAGAATAAACACAAAGAAATATATTCATACATGTAGTGTATATAACACATCTTAATGGAGCTAATATGGAAAAAGAACCAAAAGGTGAGAGGAAATACAAAATTTCTTAATATTGCTATTGCTGTTGTAAAGATACACAATTAAAGAAAACTTTCCCCCTAGAACTCTATTTTCTTATACTGTGAGAAGAACAAAAAAAAAAAAGAAAAAAAAAGAATGAGAAACAGAATACATATCAAAATATCCCTAGCGCCACTACTTTTGAAATTGGAAACAGCCTAAAACATTTAGCGATACGTGGCATGGTCAAGCAAATGATGACAGCCATCCAACAGACCGACTTCAGAGCTCTTTAAAATTACAAACGTGAAAAAAAATGATAATAAAATAAAATTACAAACGTGGACTGTATTAATAATCTGAAAAGTGTGTGTACACAAGTATACTAAATAGAAGCATGCTAAAAAAAGAATTACAATGAAAAACTCCACTATTACTGACCATGCCTACAACTTCTAATTTTAAACCTAACACTCCAACTCTAAATATTTTAAATTACTTAACCCATCCTAATATGTCTCTGTATATAAATACTTTCTTTGTACCAGCAATTGCTGTTCACAGTACAAAATAGTGCGCTCACTCACTCTCTCAAGGTAGGAGTTAAAGTCTTTAGGTTAAAAAAAAAAAGGCCATAAAAAGCCTACTGTGGATTTTACTACCCATTAAAACTGCTGTGAAGGAAGGTTTTTGTTACTCTGGAATTACTTTCCCACGAACACACTGGGGGTAAAAAAATCAGACGCCATGTTCTGAGTGACCTGGGATGGTAGTATTTAAGCTAGCAAGTGAAATACAATCTATTACATTAAAAAAACTTCAATATAGAATAACTCTGATGTATATTCTTTAATTTCAATAAATGTATTAAATATTTATGAAACCATTAGATGAGTAGCAATATATTAAATTCCCTTATATTATATGTGTCTTAATTCCAGTGGATCAGGTGGACTCAAATCTGCATAAACTGATCTCTGCATGAAACTATAATTGAGAAACTTAAAGACAATTTCTACTCCAGTACCAGAAAGATAGCTTTGTAATGACACCAAGTATTTATAAAAAAGTAACTATTATACTTTAGGCACTTGATCTTGATATCCATTTAAGTTTATGCAGCATGACTCTCTAGGAATAAAACTAATCATACCCTTAATAACTTTTTTTTTTATATTTCCTATACATTACATTATAAACCATAGAAAATAATGTCTAGTAACAGATGGATGGAAGGCCAAAGACAGTAAGGGGAAAGATCTTGCTAATGTTTGCTTAATTGCTTAATTGTAGGAGTCAATCTCATCCACGATTTTTGTTAAACTTAATAACTACTTTATAAGGATATGTGTACAGAAATGAAAGCCAACCCTTTGGAAAGGTAAAACTTGCAGTCTTAGGATGGCAGGTATACATCTATATGATTAAGTACATAGATTTTTCGATGGAAAAGAAAGTATAGATTAAATATAATTTACAATATATAGACTAACTAGAGAGATTTTTATTTATGAGCCACATAACATGCACATTTCATATAAGGTTATTTATTTACATATCGGAAACAAAAGTAAAAATCTAAAAATGTACTCTACATATAGCCAATAGTAAGTGAAGTAAAGTTTAAAGTTTGCTTTTTTTGTTAAAGTAGGTACTATGCATCTATTTCACAATTAGCAATGACTAGCTAAACATGTTATAATTCTCAAATTATTAGGTTCCATTATTTACTTAGTAGTGAAGTGGCCACTTACGAATTTGTATTAAGCCTCTGAAAGGTATATTTACACAGAAGTTATTTTCCACCAACTGATTGCTAACATAAGCGTTGTAGTATGAGAAGTTTTGTTGTGAGTTAGGGGGAAAAAAGCTCAAGGATTTGCAACGTCAGCATCAATTAACCAAACACTGGACACAGCAGGTATGTTATTTATTTGTTTGATTTTTGTCAAAATATCGCCAGAGCGTTTTGTTGTAGACAGAAGCAAAAAAGTGAGGCTACTTCAAACTTTTGGACTGCCTAGTGAATATTTGCCTAAAATTCAGCGGAAAGTGAATCATTAAATTGCCAAACTTAATCTAACCGATGCCCTGTGTAATGATAAAATGCTGGGTACGCGTGGAGAAAGAATCTTCAATAAAAGTTGCATGTTTTAAAATCAGAGTCAAATGTTAAAATGAGAAATGGTAAAATTTAAAGCATAACTTGGAGACGGATAAATGGGGGAGAAGGGGAAGCTCCTCCTGAAAATAGGATACCAACTGCTAAGTGCAGAAAAATAATAGAAAATCATCATTTTTCCATGTTCAAAGTAAAATAGATTCAGGTGAAAATAATTTCATAGATGCTAATGTTAAAAGTTTGATAAATAACAAAGACAGACTGTATCAAACTATTATTAAAATTCATTAATTGCTAAGGGAAAAATCAATCGTATACCACCTACACAAAGAGATGAAAGTCATCTCGTCAATAATGTACATCCTAATGCCATCCACTGAAAAGGACCCGACAGCACCTCTGTGATACTCTTGCCAGAAATGCATACTCTGAATCTAGTCATAATGAATCAAAGCAGATGAATCAAACGGAGTAAGAGTCTATGAAATAAATATCCTATCCTTAAAACCGTCAATGCCATGAAAACAATAAAAGCAAGCTTTGGAATTTGTTCAGATTAAAAGGGAGTGACCAGATGAAAGTTAAATGCCATGTGTGATGATACTGAACCAGGGGAGGAAACACACACACACACACAACTATGAAAGACATGAGTGGTGCAAATGGCCTGATTTGCCAAAGATTTATACAGTATTGTATAAATTTTAAATTTCCTGATTTTAATAATTATACCCAGTTTTCATAAGAGAATACCCTTCTTCTTGGAAAAAACAAATTGAAGTATTTAGGAATAAGGTGGCAATCATCTGTTATTTACTCGTATGTATAGATCAGGAAAGGAAGGGGGGAGGGTGTGTGCACATGTGTGTATGTGTGTATAGATAGAACAGGAAGGCGAATGTGGCAAAATGTTACTAATTAGCCAGTCTGGATAAAGGGTTTATGACAATTCTTCATATTATTTTGCAACTTGGGATGTCAGCAGGATCCATTCAAAGGAGTCCCTTCTACAACACTGGTAAATAGCCAATTCCTACTAATAACACATAAGAAATAAACAGTCAATGTTTACATACTGCCTCTATTTTAAAAACAATCTCTGAAGTGGACTGCAACCTGCAAAAATATCAGGACTAGAAAAATTAAATCCATGATAAGGAAGAATTAACTTAAAATAACAGAGATCAAACTGGCCAAAACTGAGGCTTGTTAAATGTACTAGGGATGCCCTATTCCAGCTGATTGTGTTTTTGTCACTCCTGTGTGGGCAGGGTCCTTTAACCATCTCACTCTTTTCTGACCCTTCCTAAGATACCATCAGTCTGCTGTGTTGTTCCTCTTTTACTGCAAGTTGTGAAACCACCCACCTTTCAAATCCTGCAGTGAAGACAGTCTACCCCAGTGTTTCCCAAAGTGTGAGTCATGTCCAGTAAGCTAGGTCATCTTAGGTCAGACCCATATCATTTAGTTACCTGGAGATTCTGGTCTCAGTTCTTTTGGTATTCATTTCCAAACATCTTTACAACACATAGCAAGTGATGGGATTGGTAATGGTAGTGGTAAAATGATTCCTTTAAAAATATATTTATTTGGCTTGGCACCCATAGCTCAGCGAGTAGGGTGCCAGCCACATACACAAAGCGGGTGGGTTGAAGCCTGGCCTGGGCCTGTTAAACAACAATGACAATTGCAACCAAGAAATAGCTGGGTGTTGTGGCGAGTACGTGTGGTCCCAGCTACTCAGGAGGGTGAGGCAAGAGAATCACTTGGGCCCAAGAGTTTGAGGTTGCTGTGAGCTGTGATGACACAGTGCTCTACTGAGGTTGACATACTGAGACTGTCTCAAAAAAAAAAAAAAAAAATATATATATATATAAGTAAATATAAAATGAAGGCAATTCAAAGAAAAAAGTAAGTTACTAAAAAGCGGGAATATGGGAAAACAAAGACTGTTGTGAATTACTGAGGCCCAGAAAACTATGATGCTATGCATGAGACATTTCCAAATTTGATTTATGAAGCTAGATAAGTGAAATCTATATGAGTTATATGAAAATTCTTATAACAAATGCCAAATGCTAAATGGGTGAAAACAGTTTCTTTCACATCAGTGAAGATAATATTTTAGAAAGCACTTCCATGGTTTTTAAGATTAATAAAAAAGTACAGTAAGATAATCTACATATACACAGTAAATCAATGTTTTCATTTTAACATTAAGTGATGTCTCAAAAAAGTATCAAAATGCCTATAAAAATTTTAGTCTGTGAAACAGTTTAAAAATTTTGAAGAGAAAAAAATATAAAAAATAAAAATTTTGAAGAGGAAAAAATGGCATAACCTATGAACCCCAATTATTTCTTTGTACCTTTGTATGAAAACAAATGTACCAAGTGTAAGAAAAACCAAACCAAGTCTAGAAAAAGCTGCTATGGTATGGCTATTCCAATTCATTGCTGTCACAATGGATGCGACTAAGAATGCAACCTGTCTTTATAGAAGAAACACACGTGCCTGGTTCCAAAACAACAGGCCTTACCAAAGGTTGCTGGGGCTGCATTGCTTGGAGACCAAGGGCCTGGCTCTGGGGCTGAGAGGACTGCTGGGGCTGAGGGGGTTGCTGGGGTTGCTGCATCTGGAAGTAAAAAACAAAAAGAGGATCATACACTTAAAGCGAAGAGGGTAACATCATTTCTGAATCTCATTCCCCCGCACTTTTATCTAATTATTCTATTCTGGCAAAAATAATATACACCTGCCTCCTTGCCAAAGCTCATTCATCTTTCAAGGGCAAGACCTAAATCTGCTGTGTCATGAAACCTTCCTGGAGCCTCCCAACCCAAAGATCTCCCCCTTGGCCAGCTTTCTCTGTCTGTAATACCACTTTGCTCTGTTGGGGGCCAAGCTCTGTGTACACAGCTGTGGCTCCTTTCATGCCGTTTGCCTTTCTACTACCACCTTAGACAGTGCCTATGACATCTGGAAGAATTCCTATACATTACATTTTCTTTAAAGGAAGATGTAGACCAGCCACCACCAGACGTTTTGGCATAAATTACCAGCATAAAAAACAGGAATCATGTCAGAGACAGGAATGGCGCAAAGATAGAGCTCTTAGAAAATGCTTCCAAGTCAGAGAAGAAACACAGACTAGACATCTACCAGGTGGGACGTAAAGGAGGGGAAAACATTAATAGTTAGTTTGGTCTCCATAACCTTTAATGTTTGCTTTACCCAAACAACTTCATCCTGATGGTGACAGCCTAGGAACGTTTTCAACCTTTGCATTTTTCTAACTGGGTTTGCGTACTATCCCCCAAGTTATCGGTCTTCTGACCAAAGGCAATAACTAGCTATCGCCCCATGGTGTTTCTTGCTAAGTGACAATGCTCAAAGGTATGGACAGGTCACTCGTAACATAAAAGATGCAAGTTGTACCAAAACACCACAATTACAATACGTAGCCAACTTGCCATTTGGCTCTCCGGGAACTCTGCTGAGAAAAATTAACCCAACTGCATAGTTAACTTTTTCCTTTATAGAGACAGCCAATCACCAAATAAAGGAACAAGTGTAATCCTGATGGACTAGCAAATCACTTTTCTTTTACTCTAGGGAATGTGTCGGTGATGAAAAAATTACCAGAAGGACATATTATGCTAATTGGGATAAAAAGTACATGTTATTCCCTAAGAAGCAACCAATGTAAGATAGGAAATCTGTAAACAAATAATGTAGTAACTTTGTTTAGTGATTTAGAAATGAGAATTAAAAAAAAAAAGAGTAAATTGTAAATTATCAGTCGTAAAAGATCCTGAAAGGTATCCTTGGCATTTGAGGGGGAAATAATGATTTGAAAAGTATTGCTGTGAATATTAATAATCATATTAGTGATAATATGTACATCTTAACAGCAACACTGTCTTTACATATTTAAAAGAAAGGTACTGGGAGGCACTTGTGGCTCAGTGGGTAGGGCGCTAGCCCCATATACCTAGGGTGGTGGGTTCAAACCCAGCCCTGCACAAACTGCAACAACAAAAAATAGCTTGATGTTGTGGCGGGTGCCTGTAGTCCCAGTTATTCAGGAGGCTGAGGCAAGAGAATTGCCTAAGCCCAAGAGTGGAGGTTGCTGTGAGCTGTGATGCCACAGCACTCTACCGAGGGCGACAAAGTAAGCCTCTGTCTCTTTAAACAGAGAGAGAGAGAGAGAGAGATAAAGGTACTACAATTATTTCAATAACCAAATTGAGGATGAGGTTTTTCTCATCTTGGAAATAACATCTATGCAATGATTAGGACTGGTGAGCTTACCAGCCACACTCCTCCAAACCAGTTGTCTACTATATGCTATCAATTTTGTGATTTTTTTTTTAATTTAAATAAGTCAAAAATTGGGGTGCACCCAATGATCTCATGATTATTGGCATCTTATAATTGTGACACCCAGTTCTATGCAGAATTTGTGTTGGCTATCTGTCCACTCGGAGGCACTACGGACCAGAATTTTGAAGTCTGAATTCAGACCTCCAGCCCATGGAGTGTATGGTTCAAATTCTCAGGGGAGGTTTTTTTTTTCCCTCCCTTCCATCCAGTGTCAAGGTTGGGACAGGTAAGTTCCTCCTCTGTCCCTTTCTCCACGATGGGTTTATTTCTTCTTGACCTCAAAACCAGAGTATAGCTCTTCCCCACTCCAGCTCTATCAAACTCCCCATTTTTTGGTAGTGTTATTTTTCTTAGCATAAAATAAAGTGCGTCTCAAGTTGGACTGCTAAGATTAGAGCCCATTCTAGAGTCTCATTAGGAAATCTCTAAACCAGTAACACCGGATCAGCCTGTTAATAAGACAAATGACACAGGTAAACATAACGACCTGTGATTCTTAAAAAGGAAGTTAGAAGCAACGATAGGTCAAAGGGGGGGAACCCTTTATGTAGGAGACAAATATTTTTATTAGTAAGTGAATGATAGCTCTCTGAAATCTCCCAGAGACCACATTAAACATGTCTTTGAAATAGCCCAAGTCCCTCCAATTGCATTGCTTCGTCAGTCCAGAAGTGTTACAGAAACGTTTTTGGATTGCAGAACTCTCTAGGAATCTGATGAAACCTTTGGATAAACCAATTTTTCTCCACGCGTATGAAACGTTGCATTTGAATTGCATGGTCCTGAGTTAAACAGAGTTTGGGTAACGCTGAGGCTTATACCACTAAAATAAAGATATTTATTTCCCCCATAACACATTTATGAAACGGGAAGGACACCGTAATGTCCTGGCAGATGCACGGCAAAAGGAAAGTCAGAACTAACTTGTACCGGTTTAGCTCCTAGTGTCAAATACACACGGCTTCTTGGAACTTGGCAATTAACGTCTGAAGTGTCATTCATGTCTTAGACTGGGGCGAATTTGCACTATCTGAAGGATGGCAGTATGGCTTTCATCTTCCTGCCTCATACCTGGAGGAGTCTTTGCTGCTGTCGAACTTGTGGCTGTCTGGGCCTCATTGGGTCCTGAGGCAGGGGCACGGAGGGTAGGTTTGGATGGGCAGAAGTCAACACAGCATCAATTCCCCCACCTACCAGAGGGCTCTGCTGTAGAGCCTGATGGTTCAGTCTGGCAAAAGAATAATGCAACAAGTTTTCATCTCCAAGCATCATATCACATGGTAGATCACTACACCTATTCACAAAGAAACAAGCGGTGCTCAATACTCCCTGATGCAATTCAAATAAAGGCCAATGGTCAACATAACAGATATGACCACTTGAAAAAGGACAGCAAGCACATTATTGGTAAAATGGTTTAAAAACATGTATAAATTACTTTAAAAACATTTAATAGTTTCTAATAATAAATGACATCAATTGAGCATTTGCTTTGGAGCAAGTACTGTGTTCTTTAAAGGTCTGAAATATGTTATTTTATTTACTTCCCACGAGAGCTTTTTGAAATCAGTAGTGTTATTCTCACTTTAAAAATGAGAAAAGAGGAAAAACTCATAAAGGTTACTCAGATAGCAGGTAGGATTTGAACTCAGAACTTTCAGGCTCTGAAGTTCAAGTTCTTGGGCTACCATGCTGCCACTTACAATGCAAGTTTGCCAAATTAATTTATTTTTCCCAATGTGCTACCATCAACTTTGCCAACCTTCCAAAGAGTAATTATTTGGAGTTGATGTGTCTCCACCGATGGTAACACACAGGAACCCTGCTGCTATCCATTGCAGTATAAATTTATAGAGGACTTTTATGATGACTGCCATGTTTTCTACTTGCACTGCCCAATGACACGGCTACTACCCATAACCACCAGGACCAGCTACATAATTTCTGGATCTCCATACTGAACAAAAGTGCAGGTTTCCCTAATTAAAAATTAGGAAGACTTTCCACAGGGAACCTACTGAGCATTAAATTAAGCCCGGGTCCTTTTAAATTCCAAGGCCCTTCTAAACACACTGCTCTGTGCTGGCTCTGCTGGCCACATGTGGCTACTAAACACTCGAAATGTGACTATGTGACAGAGGAGCTAAATTCTTAATTTAATTTTAATTAGTCTAAATTTAAATAGCCATATGTGGTTGACAGCTGCTATAATGGACAGTGCAATTAACCCCTATGTCTAAGCGATCTAATTAAAACAAGAACTGAAGAGTCTATCATTATCTTCTTTTGCCAACCATCCCTGGGGAAGAAAAGGTAGATTCTAAGTTATGACAAACCTCTCACCTACACAATGTATGATCAGCACCGCAATCATAAATGTGATGGCTCTGATCAACAAATTCTAGTAAGGCATTGCTGGCAATAATCAACAAAAAGTTTCACTCTTAGAAAAACCAAACCAACCAACCAAAAAAGAACACTGGAGCTAACATAGCTCTAGCATCTAAAAATACTATACCCATGCCATGAAAGATGTGAGCAGAACCGCAGGAGCCTTCACTGGAATGGACAAGATGGGTCGTCCCTTATTTTGAACCTCACCTGAGCGTCCTGAGAATAACAGGACAAGGAATGCAAATATGCAAGTCCACAAAAACAAGATAAAGGACACGGCCCTAAGAAGCAGAACAAACCGAGAATGAGCTTTACTGTTACACGTCATTATTTCTAAGCACATCACCTCTGCGGGCCAGCCAAGGGCTGCAGGTACGGGGAGGCCTGCTGCTGAACGTAGCCACTCGGCTGCTGCTGAATCTGTCTGAGCCTCTCCATTAGCGCAGGGTTGGAATGTGTGGCCGAGTAGGCCCTGGAGTTGTAGCTGGGAGACAGGACCACACCGCCAGCCTGCTGCTGTGGTGTCTGCTGCAAAGGCATCTGGGTTCCGTACATCGTATAGCCCTGGGGCATGGTCTGCAGGTAGGCAAAAAGAGAAAAGTCAGTGTTATGATAAACCACTCAGCTTTCCTATCACCTAGATACACGGGGCAAAAGCAAACCCATAAGAACCTCCCTGAAATTCACTGTTTTCCAAGGCTACCATAATTCAAAATTTAAGGAGGATTACTTTGCAGACAGAGAGTCTAGCCAGAGAAGCCACAGTATGAACATAGTATCAGTATCACTGTATACTGATTTTTTATTTTTTAGTGAATCTTCATTTGGCTGAACTGGCTTTTAAGATCAGCTGCTTATTTTGAAAAAAGAGCATGTTTCTGTGTAGAAATAATCAGGGAAGCATCCACACTGTCAAGGGGCAGGTGACATCGATGTTCCATACATCCCAAGTGTCATGGACATTATTCCCAAAATTAGTTAGAAAGGCTACCTATGCTCAATCCACATTGAAATAATGGAGTATGTTTCCCAAATATGTGACTATATCTTTGGGTCAGATGAATATATGCCTAGAGCAATGAATCAGTTATAAAAAGAAAACTAAGCAAACTTCCTCCCCCAAAAACCCCCAAACACCCAATAGCTTAACCAGGAAGGGTGAAGTCTATGACTATTCAATACACTCCAGGCTGGGCAAGCAGAGCCTATTTCAGCAGGCTCTGTGAATACTTAATTTTCCTTTTCAATATCTTTTTTTAAGACAGAGTCTTACTTCTTCACCCTCAGTAGAGTATTGCGGCATCACAGCTCACAGCAACCTCAACCTCTTGGGCTCAAGCGATCCTCTTGCCTCAGCTACCCAAGTAGCTGGGATTACAGGTGCCTACCGCAACACCAGCTATTTTTTAGAGATAAGGTCTTGCTCAGGCTGGTCTCGAACTTCTAAGTGCAGGCAATCCACCTGCCTCCTCAGAATGCTAGGATGACAGGCATGAGCCGCCACACCTGCCCGGCCCCCTCTTTTCAATATTGATACCCAAGTATCTATTTCTCTAAACCCTGAGAAAAACTGAGGTCCTGTTGTATCACTGGCATAGTCTGTAGAACAGAATACTGATTAAAGTAGAACACTGCTCTCAAAATCTTCAAAGCACCACATTCTGAAGTAGTTTGATGCCTCTCACTTGGAAGACAGAAATGTATGTGAATTTCGAGTAGGCAGCATGCATGGGCTCAGGCTAAAGGGCTCAGTGCCCGTGTAGGCCAAGCTTGGCTTCTTTTCAGCTATGGGCAGAGAATGGCTTGCCAGCCCCAACTAGCAATCTTGCCAATACCCCTGGGTTCCTGATTATGAGAGGGGTAGGGTCAGACTATGTGAATACAAAAATAGCAAAGTTATTAGGAAAACAGCTCACAATTTACATTATATTAAGGCAATGCACCATTTGCTAAGCATCTACTGTGGGTTCCATGGGATGTCTTAAGCCCTCAAGCCCTTCATCTTTATCTCACACAGAGAAGGAAGACTAAGCTCAGAGTGACACAGGGTCACATAGCTAGTGCATTCCCAGGAACTGTGCCAAGGTCTGATTCCAAGACCTTCTTATTCAACCATAATTCCTCATCAAAGCTATCTTTGAATAGGACAATTTTAATCATAAACTATATTCTTATACATAATATAAAAGAAGTAACTCCAGGGTTATTAAACATTTCAATAACTGCCATCACATAATACAAAGGTTTGAAGTTATGTATGTTTTTATAACGATTCAAGATTTTCTTTAAATGTTTTATGTGTCTTAAGATAAGCAATCCAGGGAGCTATTCAATTATCATTGAAAATGCTTTTTGAAAAAGAAGTCAGCATTATCTTTATTATGGTTAACATTATCTCCATTCATTAGTTAGGTAGGATGGGACAGAGCTTTATTTGATAAGATTTTAAAAAAAAAATTTTTTTTTTTGAGACAGAGTTTCACTATGTCACCCTTGGTAGAGTATTGTGGCATCAAAGCTAACAGCAACCTCAAACTCTTAGGCTTAAGTGATTCTCTTGCCTCAGCCTCCCAAGTAGCTCGGACTACAGGCGCCTTGCCACAACACTGGGCTATGTTTTTGTTGTTGTCATTGTTTAGCAGGCTGGGCCGGATTCAAACCCATCAGCCCTGGTGCATGTGGGCAGCGCCCTAAATACTGAACTATGGTGCTGAGCCAAATTCATGCTTTTAAAAAATGTCAATTATAATCTTTATGTAGTAGACATAAGGACTGTACGGTGTAGACCCTATAGGGAATTCATATTCTATTTACTTAGAAGCAAACGTGGGTACCTGTGCTGGCTGCAGCCCGGGATACTGAGGGAGCTGCGGGGAGGGCCGAGTTTGTGCAGCAAAGAGAGCGGCCTGGTCCCCCGGCTGGCCCTGGAAAACAAAGCCAAGGCAAACTTCTCATCATAACAGCAAAGGCTTGACTGGAGCTTTTGGTCAATAACAAGTAACCCGCACCTTCAAGTCTCACTACACAAAGATGAAACTCACAGATTTTCAAACTGCAAGAAATACTGTCTCACCAATTTCCCATGTGTGTATAGACTGCTGAACTTACTTCTTCCAAAGACTACAGAAGTTCCCAATCACAAAGCAAGCCTAGGAACAATTCGAGAGGGGACAGATGCTGCCCTGGGACATGAGTCTGTGGGTGTGAAATCCGGACCCACAGGGGTGCACCACCCACTGCCCATAAAGGGAAGAGAATATCGGAACCTATCAACAGCAAATGAAAAGCCTATGACTTTGTAATGAGCTTTCTTCACCGTGACCTAGAACTTGCTTATTTAGTCAGGTGTTCATGGGATAAACTTGGCGTTTTCTATGACTCTAGCAATCAATTAGAATATAGTCAATAAAAACGGATAAGGTAATAGCAAATGTAATTCTAGCCAAATACAACACAGAATAAAACCAATTAACATCTACTCACCAGTCTTAAAACATGTCTTGTCCGTAGGAAAATAATACATTCATTCCTAAGTGCTTTATGTTTTGGTGACAGATTTATTTCATGGACACTTGCAGTAATAATTATAGAAACAGGCCGAGCTTCCTACCACCCCTGTGTATTTTCAGGACTTATTAAACGTAAAAAGTGAGGTTTATGATAGGATTATTTTACTATCATCTTCTAATAGAGATCGTCATTTTAAAAAGTGCTACCCTATAGGTACATAAAAACTATTTTAATGTGCTTTGTAAGTAGTGTAGCTATTTCCAGCGAGAAGGAACAAACATTTTGCTTAAGGAGAACAACAAATATTAAGACTTATTCTCATTTTCTTACAAAAAGTCTATAGGACAGGTGCACCATTCCCAGGCTCTTCAGGTGGGAAAAGCCAGGCTCAAAGAGCTTAAGCTAACTCAGCAAGTGTAGCCAGCTAGACCTGGCAGAGCCATGACCTAAACACCGTGAGTCTGACTTTACGAAAGCCCAGGGCTCTTTCCGTTATAATGAGACGTCTCCATATGTGACACTTAGGGTAAAAATCTTTAAATACTCATTTGGTACTTATTCATTAAGGACACATAACCTCTTAAAATCACCCTAATAAGAAACCAAAAGGTGAATCTCTAAGTGTATTAACACTTGTTAGAGATACTGAAACTATATACATAAATACACAATAGATGGTGAAATCTTTTCTCTGATCCCCACATAAAATCACCTGGGGCCATTTATGAAACCTCAGCTTCTCCTAAGGTGACTACCCATACATATATGGACAAAACACGAATTTCTGAGTGTACCTATGATACCTATACATAAGAGCTTCAATAATAATTTAACTTTACAGACCGGGGTACCAAGAAAATAACCGTGGTCTTTAGCTCATTATCTGTTAAACACAACTATATCTCCATTTGCTTGGGTGTAATAAAAACAGTCCAAGTTCCCTCTATGAGAACCTAACTGTGGGATCTCATGGCTATTGGGAAGCTAAAACTATTCTCCCCCCAAAGTATACAAATGGTTCTTGATTCTCCACACACTAGGCCAAAGAATCATTAAATCAACCAGATTTTTCAATACCACTCCTTGACGTTAATCTCATGCAAGCTCCCTGAAACACATGGTTGTGCCTCTTTATGGGAACTAATGTATGTGTACTATCATTTTACAGAATAAAGGAATACTAAAACGTGTGTTTGCGTGTATAGTTTTGTATCTATACAATATTCATTTAACCCGTATATAGGTGGGTTAGAATCAGGGGATCAATGTATAGTTTATAATACCCAGGCCATCTTTCGATTGGAGGGAGACAGGCTGTGCTCTGTATGTGACAACTACATACAGACACGTAAAAGAGATCTTTTCTAACTCTCTTATTAGAGTTATTATTGAAGAATCTTATGACCTGCACTGTGACTTACGCGGGGTAGGCAAAACTAGGATACTAAGAAGGTATATGTCTGAGTTACAAATACATTAGTTGATATCATAGAGACTTAAGAAATGTGAATTAAAACTATTCTATGTTTTTTTAAAGTCACAAAAATAACATTCAGAAAAAGGTGCTATAATTTTAAAAGAAGCAGGGATAAAGAAATCAAAATACAGTGTTGACACTCTGAAATTCATGTCAACCATTCATATTCAAAGGTGAACTATTTATTGTTATGTGAACATATTACATTTCTCCCCAGATTTTCCCAATATATCACTTAAGTATAACGGGAAACAATTCAGATATGCAATATTCTCCCTGAGAAAGCTGAAAACACCCAAGTTAGCTAGCACTCCCCACAGTCTCTGGGGTGGCTTTATCACCATAGTGTCCTGGAAAGAAAATGCGCTGATCTCTCCTGCCAGACTGACACGGATTCCCACTTTTCTTTGTTTTTCCCAGAATATCAGAAACATATTTTTTCAATTTGTAGAGGAAAGAACAAATTCAAAAAGTTCTTTAGTCATTTGAAATATTTCACAAATGCTAAGTAAGGACACAATATGGGAATACTTGCGGAAACTAAAGACTGAGAATTAGTAATAAAAAAAAAAATGATGTTGGTGGACATTGGTTCGGCTGCATTAAACCAAGAATAGGCCATATACAAAATATATCCTCCAAGCTGGGACAGACCAGGACAGCAAGGCCAAGTCAGACCTTGCCTTGTATATCAGGGCATATGGTCACTGGAGTTGTCATTTCCAGAAAACTTTTAAAGCTTTATTTTTATTCAGTTCTTAGCACTGTGTCTGGCACGTAGTAAGTGCTCAGTAAATATCTGTCGAGAAACACAAATTTAATTT